GACAGTGACTCTGGGGAAAGGCAGAACAGACTAGAATTGCTTGATGGCTTTGCGTGATTGTATGATTTTCTGCTCAAGTAGCAAATTACCTTTGTGTAGTACTAGAAATAGTGACTGGTTGCATTGATTGGAGGATGATTATTTTCTTAAGAAATATTGGTGAAGGGATTAACCAAAGAACATTTATGCACAACTATGGACACGACAACCATATGGGAATTGGGAGAGGATGGGGCTGGGTGAAGGTGGGGAAGGGGAGAAAGAGAAGGACCAGCTGTAACAGCATAAACAATAAAAACAAACTAAAAATATTGAATAATTTATACATGAGATTAATAGGACAATGTAAGTGAAAAACAAAGAAGAGGTACAATTTACTTTGTTTAATTCAGTGCAATAATTCAATCATTTACCAGTGTTGCCTTCAATCTATACTGTGAAAGTAATTTCTGGAATGGTATTTGGATTGCCTCATAGTGTATGGTGGGAGAGAGTACAGTTTTAGAACCAGCATCTTTTATATGCTCATTTATAATGTGAATTCTGAAGCTCTAAATATCAATGAAGAGCCCATATTTGAAATACACATGTATTTCAAAATAGCATGGTAAATGGACACAGAAAAGAAAGACTTACAGTGAGCCAAGAAATTTTTGTGTTGAGACAAAATTATTGATAAATGGAAGAAGAGAGAATATCCTACATTGTCTTTTTATTGATGATATGTAGAAACCTTGCTTAGTCTGTCTCTCAACAAGAAAGATGGAATTCCTCTTTCACTGAGGATTACTACCTTCTGACTTAATTCGAAAAAAACACATATTTTTTTTTCCATTATGGAAGATTGTTTTAGAGCTGAAAATTCACTGTTGTTTTGGTAATTAATTTCTGCTAATGTTTTGAGTTTTCAGGCAAATTATGTTACAGAATATATTGTACTTTTGGGCAACTATGTTCACTGCTTCCTAGGTAAAATCTAAAATAATCTTTTCTTGATAACTCTGTTTTGTATTTAAGTGCCTGAATTTTGTTTTTGAAGTGTTAGGTTTTTAACAAATTTTGTTTAAATTGAAACACAGAACATTGTTTTTATTAGGTTTTGTGAATTTATAGACTATCCATGAATCTCTCCTCTCCTTCCTCTTTTTTTAAATTTAAACAATTTATTAGTTCAATAAGAATAAACCCAGTATGATAACGTGTTTTAAGAAAAATAAGTATATTTTCCAAAATAAAAAACTAGTGAGAGAATACCATTGTTTCATTTTTACAAATCTCTTTGATAGAAGACACCTGAATTCTCTGTTATATCTGCTTCTGCATTCAATTAGTTGTGATTTTTTTAAAATTTATTTTATTTATTGATTCTAGAGAGATAGAGAAAGGGGGAGGGAAAGAGACAGAGAAACATCGATACATTGTTCCACTTTATTTATGCATTGGTTGCTCTTTGTATGTGCTGTGACTGGTGCCATAACCTTGGTGTATCGGGGATGATGCTCTAATCAACTGAGCTACTGGCCAGGGCATGTTGTGATATGTTGTTTTATTTCTCTTACATTTTTAAAATTTTTACATTTTTAAAATTATGTATTACTGATTATGCTATTAAAGTTGTCCCAATATTTTTCACTTTGCCCCCCCCCCCAACCCCTAGTCCCTTATGCAGTCCCCACACCATGTTCATGTCCTTGGGTTCTGTGGCTACTCCCTTTCCTGTTACTGTACTTTACATCTGCATGGTTATTCTGTAACTACCTATTTGTACTTCTTAATCTCCTTAGCTCTTTACCCACACATCTCTCCCATCTGGCAACCCACATACCTCTCTTATCTGGCAACTATCAAATGTTGTTTGTATCCATGGTCCTGTCTCTGTTCTCCTTGTTTGCTTCGTTTGTTGTTTAGATTCAGTGGTTGATAGGTATTTATTGCCATTTTATTGTTCATAGTTCTGATCTTTTTCTTAAGTCCCTTTAACATTTCATATAATAATGGGTTGGTGATGGTGAACTCCTTTAACTCTTTCTTGTCTAAGAAGCTCTTTATCTGCCATTTGATTCTAAATGATAGATTTTTTTGGGTGGAGCAGTCTTGGCTGTAGGTCCCTGCTTTTCATGACTTTGGCTATTTCTTGTTCTTTCCTTCCAGCCTGCAAAGTTTCTTTTGAGAAATCAGCTGACAGTCTTACGGGAATTTCCCTGTGGGTAACTAACTGCTATTCTCTTGCTGCTTTTAAGAGTCACTCTTTATCTTTAACCTTGGGCATTTTAAATATACTTTGTCTTGGAGTGGGCTTCTTTACAACCATCTTGTTTGGGACTCTCTGCTTCCCTGACTTGCATGTCTATTTCCTTCAGTAAATTTGGGAAGTTTTCTTTTATTATTTTTTTCAAATAGATTCCCAATTACTTCTCCTTCTAGCACACCTATGATGTGAATGTTGGAATGCTTGGAGCTGTCCCACAGGCCGCTTTCACTGTCCTTGTTTTCTTGGGTTCTTTTTTCTTCTTATTCTAATTGGTTGTTTTTTGTTTCCTTATGTTCCAAATCATTGATTTGATTCTTAGCTTCATCCACTTTACTGTTGTTTCCCCTTAAATTGTTCTTTATTTCAATTAGTGTATCCTTTATTTCTGACCAAATCTTTTTTATGCTATTGAGGTCCTCACTAAGTTACTTGAGCATCCTTATAACCAGTTTTTTGAACTCTGCATCCGACAGATTGCTTATTTCCATTTCTTTTAGTTGTTTTTCTGGAGTTTTGATCTGTTCTTTCATTTGGGGCATGTTTCTTTGTCTTCTCATTTTGGCAGCCTCCCTGTGTTTGTTTCTATGTATTAGTTAGAGCTGCTAGGACTTTGTGTCTTGGTTGCATGGCCTAATGTAGTAGGTGTCCTGTACGGTCCAATGGCATAACTTCCACTATCACTAAAGCTGGGTACTCGAGGTGTGTCCTTTGGGTGGGCTGAGTACACCCTCCTCTTATAGTTAAGCCTTAAATGTTGTTGGCAGGTCAATGGGAGGGATTTACCCAGGCCGATCAGCTTCAAGGACTGGCTGTGACCACTGACCAACCTCTGCCCTCTGTGGAGGAGCAGTTGTGCAAGGGCAGGGTGGTGGTGCTCTGAAGTGGTCTGTAGCAATGCACTGGATTCACAGGCTCTGGGGTTTCCTGTGTGGTGCAGGCCAATGTCAGCCTTGACTTGTGTTCTGCCCAGGGCCACCCTGCCTGAGCTATAAAGTAACCTGGGATGGCTGCTATGTGTGCTGGGCTAGGAGATTCCCAAGAGAAGCCAAGCTGTGAATCTAGGCAGGCTGCTGATAGAGCTGGGCCTCAATCACTTAGCAAGAGGTACAGAGGCTACAGGCTTGCTTGTTGTTGCTTGTTTGAGAGGATTTAGGAAGCTATGAAGCAAGAGCAAGACCAGCCATTTATATGGAAAAGTCATGGTTAACACCCATGGTTTTGGGTGTGTGCATAAGTTGGGTGGGATGGAGTCTTAGGGGGTTTCTGGAGTGGGGCAAACAGTATTAACCAGATGATGGACTCTCAGATATGGCACCGGCCTGCTGGCTCTGTGGTTCTGTAGAGGGAGGGCTCAGCAAAGGGGCAATGGCCTCTGCCCGCCTTTCTGTCTGAAAGGAACCTGTCTGCCAGCCCCTCCATGATGCCTGACACTTCAGTTCTTTCCTGAATGCCACTGGTGCCTTTGAAGCTGCTACCCCAGTGCTGGAGCTCAGAGGGAGTTAGTCTGAGTAAGTCCATGTGTGGGTTCTTTAAGCAAAACTGCTTGGGACTCCAAAAGTTTCTTGCACTGACTCAATCTGTGCTGATTTTGCAGCCAGAAGTTATGGGGACTTATTTCTTGGCACTGCAGCCCTGAGCTTGGGCGACCTGCTGTGGGGCTGGGCCTTTTCACTCCTGAGTGATTGGGATTTGCGCCTGGGGTGGATTGGGACCAGCCTGTTCTGAGGCCCTGCCCCTCCTTCTAGTCTGGGTGGGCATGGTTTCTTTAATTCCATAGTTGTCAGACTTCCATTCAACTCGATTTCTGATGATTCTGAATGATGGTTGTTCTATATTTTAGTTGTAATTTTGATGTGGTTGTGTGAGGTGGTGAATTGTGTTTACCTATGCTGCTGCCTTGATCAAGAGTCCCTTCTTCTTTTTAATTCTTTAAGGCTAGAGTCTGAAATTACCTCTTGTCTCTCCATCTCTTATAGATGCAAGGCTCATAGTAAATGTTTAGAGAAGAGCCCAGGCCAAGTGTTACTACTAGATTTGCTAAAATGGAGGGGCCTGCAAATTCCTGGGGATATTACTTTTGTTCATTTTTAGCTTCAGATTTAACCACAATTTCTTTTAAGACAGTGCTTTTGAATGAATCATTTTAAAAAAGTATAGAGTCTTTTTCAAGTGTTTAATTAGACGTTTTATATGCTGTATAGTCTTTTTTTTTTTTTTTTTTAAGATTCTCATTTATTCAGTTTCCAGGTGCTTGGGGATGTCATCCTCTTTATGGATGAAGATATTGAATATTGGAACGGTTCAGTAACTTGACCAAAATTTTTCAAATATGGGCCTGTCTGAAAGCATATGACTTTTATCTTTGATTTTATTGTCTTTTGCTATTTCTGTAATTATGAACAGTAGTATTCTCCATATAGTGCCTCTCTTCAGGGGAAATGAAACATTGTAAAATAATTATCAAACCGTATCAAAGGTATAATTACTTTGTCCCTTCATTTCTCTAACTATGTGTGTTAAGCAGCCTTGAACTGTGTAGGTTTAATTTGGCAGAGAAAATCTGCTTTCTTTCTAAAAGGAAGGAAAGCAAAAATGAGGATTGATTTTTGAAAAAAATATTAGAGACTTTTGAATATTCTGGTGGTGAGAAAAAACTCTAGTAAAAAAAAATCCATATTTTTTGCACATGTGTGGTGTCATGACTTTAAATGCTCTTCAATCTTAAAACTTTGTACTTCTTCTTGTATAGAGCTCGCAGTATGTACAGTGTGTTGCCGGGTGTCTGCAGCTGATGCTTCGGGTCAATGAGTACCGCTTTGCCTGGGTAGAAGCAGATGGGGTAAACTGGTGAGTGTCCTTTTACTTTTAATGTAGTATAGCATTTAAAAAGATCCGTCCTTGACATTTGCAAATAAATTAATAGTATTAATCATTCAAAAGAAGTATTTTAACTTTTTTGTGTCTGTTTAATCGTGGGTTATGCTAACCATTATAGAAGTCAATAACTAATAACTACCAGATGGGATACTTCCCCTTTCCCTTGCTTGGTCTGTGCTATTATAAGAGGTAAAGGACTCATAAAAACCTAATCTTGATAGAATAAATTCCAGGTACTCAGAAGAGTAAAGCAGTCATAAAACTACCTTGTGGTAAATGCAGGCAAAAATCAATAAGAACAGAGAGCATTATGCTAAGTGAAATAAGCCAGTCAGAGAAAGACAAATACCGTATGATTTCACTCATGTGGAATCTAATGAAAAAAATGAATTAACAAGCAAAATAGTGACAGACTCATGGATAGAGAGGAGAGTGTCAGCTGTTGGGAGTGAGGGGCCTGGGTGGAGGGATTGAGCAAAGGAAGGAAAAACTCATGGACTTGGACAACAGTGTGGTGATTGCTGGGATGGGGGTGGGGCGGGGGGAGAGAGGTGGCGGAGGGTATGGGGGGATAAATGCTGATGGAAAGAGAATTGAGGTGATGAACACACAATACAGTGTACAGATGATGTGGTATAGAATTGTGCACCTGAAATGTGTATAATTTTGTTAACCAGTGTCACCCCAGTAACATCAATAAAAAGAAAAAGTAGTAAGGAAAGGTCTTACACAGAAAAGAGTGAATAAAAGCCATTCTTTGTAATGCGGTGTAATTAGTCCATTCTTTTTGGAGTAATCATTTGCAGGTCCAGAAACTTTGAGAAGCTGCTTTCTGAGGTTTAACAAACGCATTTGTACAAAGAACCTCCCCAAACGGTGAAACAAATATACAAAATCCTCTTTTACTACCACAAGGCCAATCTATTTATTCATAGTGAGAGAACTCACTGCTCTTAAACCAAATACTCTTTTAAGTTAGTGAAGACATTGTTTCTCTGTTGGAAAATGTATACATAAAGCTTATTTATCAACTAATGGTTCCTTCGTGAGGAAGGCTTCAGAGCCAGAAAGGTGACTGAATGATCCTGGTGCTGTCTCATCAGATTCTAGCAGGCTGATGAATCCTATCTCCATTGTAGGGATATACCTGTCAAAGGGACCAAATAGCCTAGATCTTCTCAGCCAGTATTTGCATGCAGTTTCTTAGGGTGGGTTACTTCTTAAAATTTTCATGATATACTCAATAACCATCGACTCAATAAAGTAGCAATCTTAAGATGCAAAATTTCAATGTTTTTACTTATTTAACAATATATAAGGAAAAATAGTCATCACCATTTACCATGTAGATCCTTTGTAAAATATATATTTAGGTATTATGTGATTAATAGAATTAAGAATAAAGAATGAAAAACAACCATTGAAAATTTCAGTAAGAATTTTTGTATAGCACACCTTTTTGTAGTGAGTTATATTTGGTGCACAAACATTATAAAAGATGAGAGAAAACCCTCACATATCCTTTTAGCAAAATGCAATGGTCCAGGTTGTTATTGCAAAGCATTGTGTTGAAGTCTTCATGTTGAATGGCAATGTGAGAATACCATATTTCCTTTTTGTCCTTTGAAATATATTGATCAGACATTGATTCTTGAGTTTGAGAAAATTTATGGTATAGTCATCTGAAAACTTACAAGATGTGACAAATTTCATCGTCATTTTTAGAGAATGGATTGCTGTTTCTTTGCTTTCAACTTCTGATTCATCTAATAACTGAAATGCCTTCCTCAAGTAATTATCATAGTACGCAGAAAATAAAAAGTTATGAATTCCCAGCTCTGTTCACATTGTGTCAGCAAACTCAACAGAGGGAGTCAGGAGACTGAGCCTTTAGTTATTCTTACAGCTGAGATTTATTACAGACACAGGAGAGGGATGGATACACACAGCTGGATCATAGGGACAGAGACACAGGCTGAGTCTGGAAAGAATCCATGTGAAGCTTCCTTATATTCTCTCCCCTCCATGAGGGGGTCACAAGTGCACTTTTCCTCCAGCAATGAAAATGCAAGAACATTTGTGTGAGGTTTCTGCCCAAGAAGCCTACTAAGAACTCCATGCCCACAGTTTTTATTGGAGGCTTGTCAGGTAGGCATCCTCTGCTTAACATGCTGCAAAGTTCCAGACTCCAGAAGGAAAGCAGGTGTTCAGCATAAACACACTGTTTGTGAAAACATTTTAGGTATTGTGAGACACCCTTATCATTTAGGAAAAATATTGTGTCAGTGTAGGGAACTGTTTACCAGTCAAGTTCCCAGAAGCCAGCCAAGGGCCTGCTTTGCAGGCAGACCGCTGTAAGGATAGCAGTTGTAGGATGATGATGTTAACAAAGGTAGACTACCTTCTAAAAAAAATTGATGCAATGTTTTGGGCAATACGATAGGAAAGGATAATTATTTATTTCACTATTATATTTTTTTTCCCTAGGCAATTCCATTATTTCCTAAATTTCTTATAATTTTAGGCTTTAATTTTTTAGCATAATTGGTGTTAATGAACAACTACTTGTCAAACAGTATTTAGGATGATGAAATAGTGTAAATCTTTAAATTATAGGTAACATAAAATACTGAGATCCTATACTATGTCTTAGGTTTAAAAGGCCTGTGTGATAATTGCAAAATAAATTGAATTTTATTCTGTTAAAAAAAAGTAGATTATTTCTGTTCTTTGGAAGACTGGTAAGAGAATAAAAGTCATGAAACACCAATTTCTACAAATAATTGCAATTTCTCAAAAGAAAATAAACGCAAATAACTAAAATTTGGTTAATGGTATACTGAGGCTAACTAAATGCTGCTGTTGTAATTATTAGCACTTGATATTTTAAAGGACAGTAAGCAATGTTAATCATCTAGTTTAGCAACAATAACAGGGATAAATACAGTCTGGAATATTCCATGGTCATCCTACACATTTTGATATGGTAATCACCACAAACAAGATTAGCAGTAATCAAAGAGATCTGTAGATTAAGAATAAGCATTAATAAAGGCATAATATGTTAATTCCTTGATAGTAGAGCAATCTATAAAAGTCATTTAATCTTTTCAATTTTTAAAGAAATAAAACGTGTGCTTTCTACTTTTCCTTTTCCTTATTTAGTGTTGAAAGCTTTCTTTTTTGTTTTCTTTATTTCTGGTACTCCTCAAATCACAAGTGGAATCTTGAGGAGGAGAAGTTTATGAGCCTAGCCTGTTTGAAGAGGGTAGAACTGATGTTTTTAAAACTCCAGTACGTTTTTATCCATATAGTTTTCTTTCTTTCATTTTTGGTTAAAAACCTATTATGTGAATGACAATACTATTTCTGACTGTTTATGTGCTTATGTAAGAACAAAAATATACTTGCATTGTCTTGTGTATTGTTGACTTCATTAGAAGTCTAAAAATTGGCATTGATTTTATTTAAAATACTGGAGTGGAAAGGGGACTTCTGCTGGGATTTGCCTCCACAAATGTAAATTGCCTCCACAAATGTTATATCCCACCATTTGAAGTATTTTGAAAATATTTATAGGTATGTGAATGAAAGGAAGACGTGTTTTTAAACATTAAAATATTACATTATTGGGTGATGTTGCATGATGAGGTGTGAGGTGCTCATGGATTTGAAGAGCAGCAGCGAGCTGAAAGTGTATGTGTCAGCTAGTAAACTAGCTGCTTTCTCTCCCTACTCCCTGCATTGGCTGATATTTTAAAAAACCTTACTTAAAAAACCAAAACAATACTGAATAGTTCTTTTGGCCCTATGGACTTTAGCCTCCTTTCTAATCTTGTCTTTGACAATTATTTGTATTTTTTGAGCTCTCTGCATAATGCACTATTTACAATGGGGAATACAAAGAAACATAAATGGTACTTTTCTCTAAGAAATTTACAATCTAGTCAGAAAACAGTATTAAATACCTAACAAAGGTAGTATTTAGGATTATAGAACATCATTTAGTAATTTTTCAGTAATTTTAAGAAGTAACACTAAACCCACCAATTTGAGAGGAGTAGCAGATACCTAAATGGCAATGAATGCCCACTCATTTATCAGGTCTTACCTCAAGCACCACTTCCTCTGGAAATCCTTCCCTCCCATTGTGTTAGACTCTAAATTCCTTTAGAGCATGCACAGTGTCTGTTTTGCCCACAATTATGACCCCCATGTCTTTCAGTGTACCAGCCCCATAGATCCTCAACACATATTTGTTAAGTTACTATATTTAGGTTTCTCTTGGGCCCGTGTGTCCTTTGCATCTCCTTAGTGTGCCCTTCATGCTCCCTTGTATTCTGGTAAACAGGAATTTCATTGTGCTTCATTATGTATTTCTTCTGGTTAATGTTTGGCTACAGAAGACTTCTCTTTTCAGTGGCATCATATATACTTATTTGTGGTCATTGGTGACAACTTTCTTTGAAACTTTTCCGTCTTGGTTTCAGCAACAGTGGTCCTGACGGTAATAGAGGTCCTGACCTCTTCTTAATCCTTCTGTTCATTTAAAATTTTTTATTTTAATACAGGTAATTTAGTATGAAGAACTGTTAACTACGTATGCATTTGTTAACTAGGTTTCTGAAAACAAACAAACGAACTCTGAAGTGTCAGGAAGGTAGCTAGTGTAGATACCCCTAAAACTGGGGAACAAACATAAGAGATTGTGATTACTAAATTTATGTGCTTCAAGGAGGGTCTGTGTGAAGTTGCAGTTTAGTCCATAGAAGGGGAAACACTGCTTATCTGGGGTTTATCCTCCTGAGCTCGAGTAAAGGCCTCATAGGTGGCGGACCTGAGGAGGCACAGGGCTCTGGATCTGAGGGTCCCTTTTTGGGTGCCAGCTGATGAGGATGGCGGATTCTGTCCCGCAGAGTATGCTCCGGGTCATCACAGATGGGGAAATAAAATAAGTCGTGCCAGACACTTTTCTCTTGGTCTGCCTGGGGAAGGGGTGGCCCTTCCCTCTAGTGGAGAAGGCCCCAGCCCCTGTCTTGAAGTGGCTTTTATGGAGAACCTTATGCGCAGGGATATACAGCATGGATGCAAAGCTCATCAGTAAATGTCAAAAGGCTATGTTTACAGAAAACAAGTAGAGATCATAGATAACAATTGAAGGAACACAAGAGATTTGCCGCAGGTCTGGGTCTGGTAGACAGGGTGGCGCCCATTCTGGGAAACTGATCTCATTCTATGCTCAACCCCAAACATCAGCACTCATTAACTTGAGGGCATTCTTAGCAAAGTAAGTTTCATAGGATTTAATGCATTCCTTTTCCAGGCCTAATTGTCCCTGGGAACCACTTGATCCAGTTTAGGGCTGTGCCTGACATTAGTATTGCTTCAAGCCTGAGCCAGGGGGACGGGGCAGAGCCACCAAGGGATAAGGAGACTTCTTTCAGATAGAATGAGAACTCTGGCAATATCAAAACCGAGGGGTAAGGGTCTTTTGCCCCTTCTCTGTGTCCCCCAAGTCCTTCCCTGATGGCTCCTATGCAACTGTGCCTGTCTTAGGTTGTCCCTGCCATTGAGCGATCTTACCTGTCATTGACTAATCAACCAGTCATCCTCTGGGGCCAAGCAGGGTGATGTGATGGATGCAGAGGCTGCACCCCTGCCAGGGGGACGGATTTTGTCTCCTCAGTGGCCTATTTTCCCAAGGCATCCTTACTCGGCTCCAGCCTGAGGGCCCTCTTGCGTGTTGGTGAGGCCACAGTCTCTGAAACCAGGCAGGACGGTTCCCAAAAGGACCCACATGGTTGGCATTGGTGTCTCTCAGGGTGCACAGTGAGGCTTTCAGCTGCTACCGCAGGAAAGAGTGGTTGCTACCAGGGTGAAGAAATGCTGCTAAGTGATACTCACAGGAACAGGAAGCCAATAGGAGACAGTTCCTTCTTCCTCCAAGCTTGAAGTTGACCTCTAGCACCTCCTATTGGCAGAACCAGTTAGTAAAGCAGAAATGTGGCTTGAAGTCTCAGCTATAGCATCACAAAGTATAGAAGGCTTACCTTAGTAACTGGAAGAGTCAGAGAGAAAAGGAAAACCAGGTATTAGGGTATTAAAAGAATAAAATTACGTGATTTTATAGCTGTTAAAATACTGCCATCAATATTTTTAAAAACTCAAGTCTTACACAGCAGCCAAAGTAGAAAAGACTCAAAGAAGAAATCATGCATGAGAAAATTAAGGGCAATTCAAGCAAATTTTTAACTGAATACAAATCTTTAAAAGGGAGAAATGGTGCAAATGTAAACCTTCCACTAAGTTATAGATTGTAAAGTTAGATTTAAAATTTATTTATATTAATAGACTTTTATTTTTCAGAGCAGTTTTAGGTTGCAGAAAAATTGAAAGTGAAGAGATTTCCTATATATACCTGCCCTCCCATAGTTTCTCCTATTATTAATATCTTGTATTAGTATGCTACATTTGTTTCAATTGTTGAACCAAAAATGATGTATTTCTTACTAAGGTTTATAGTTTATATTAGAGTTCATTCTTTGTATTGTGCATTCTATGGGTTTTTAGTCCCTTAACCTCTCCAGTCATTTTTTTTTTTTTAAGCATGATGATTTTTTTAAAAGATTTTATTTATTTATTTTTAGAGAGAGGGGAAAGGAAGGAGAAAGAGAGGGAAAAAGAGAGGGAGAGAAACATCAATGTGTGGTTGCTTCTCTCACGCCCCTTACTGGAGACCTGGCCTGCAACCCCAGGCATGCCCCCTGATAGGGAATTGAACCAATGACCCTTTGGTTCGCAGGCTGGTGCTCAGTCCACTGAGTTACACCAGCCAGGTCTCTGGTGATTTGTTAGAGGCCTAATTTGATGGTTTCTGTTCTTCCTTGTGTGAATGAGGCATTCCTCAGGGAAATTACTTTAGTGTTCTTCCTTGGTGTAACCTCTTTGATTTCCATTTAGCTTTCCCAGTTTTCTTGTCAGTAAAATGGGCAGTTAAAATAGAAGCTTCTCAAGTTCTAATTTCCACATTCGATGATTGGCTATATTAAATTGAGACTCATGGTAGAGTTCTGCCAAATTGATTCCTTCTTTTCTCTGATGCCCTAAATATTTTTAAAGCTATACTGGGATCTTCTTGGTTGTCCAGACTCAAGATCTTGATACATTTGACTTCACCAGAATGAACGTCCTGTTGATTTTAGCTTCTACAGTGTTTGTCAGATTCCTTTTACTGTTTCTTCTTCTGTATTGCAAGGTTGTGTTTCCTTTCTCATTGCCTTCCTGCAGCAAATGCAGCTGCTTGCTGAAGTCCTGTGACTTTTGAAGAGAGGGTTAAGTGAAGCTCTGCTGCAAATGGCCCTCTCTGAGTAGGGATCTAGCTTCCTTGTTATTGCTAGCAGAAAAGAAACTGAGGACATAATTTTGTTCCATTAGTGCAGAAAGAATAATCAGTTATTTTTCCTTTTTTGTTACAGTGTTATATTAAATGTTTTTTTAATATGTGTTCCTTTTTAGCATAATGGGAGTTTTGAGTAACAAATGTGGCTTTCAACTCCAGTATCAAATGATTTTTTCAATATGGCTTCTGGCATTCAGTCCTCAAATGTGTGAACATCTGCGGCGTTATAATATCATTCCTGTTTTGTCCGATATCCTTCAAGAATCCGTCAAAGAGAAAGTGACAAGAATCATCCTTGCAGCATTCCGTGTAAGTGTTTTGTGGATTTTTTTTAATGGGGGGCGGTTTGTGTGTGTGTGTGTGGCATTTTCACTGTGGAATATATTTGAGAGCTTTTAGCAGGTGAGAAAAAGTTACTTGTTCTTCATGTAGTTATGAAACTGTGGTGTCTTGGTGAATATAGATTAAACAAACACTAATTTGTATTTACACCATGGGGGAATGGGGCACATGGGAGGAAACCATTTAAATGGATGAAATGAGTTCTGGAATGCTTGTAAGAAAGTATAATTGCATTACTTTCAGATAGAGGAAGTCCTTTTGTTTTTTATTTTTTTATATTTTTATATAACACATAGACACAGACAACAGTATGGTGATAGCCAAGCCATAGAATAAGGGAGGCATGGGGAGGTGGAAGAGGGCAAAGAATGGTTAAATGGGGACACAAAGAGACTTTACTTTGGGTGATGGGCTCATGGTACAGTATGCTGATGTTTTGTGGAGTGGTATATTGGAAACCTGCATGGCTCTGTTAACCAGTGTCACCCCAAGAAATTCAATTAAAAAAAAAGTCCTTTTTGTTGCAGTGTTTTTCAAGAGAATATCATTGAGGCTTTTCTCTTATGCGGCCCTTATTTTTGTATGGAATTGTATTTCAGATTTTGGATCTACTGACAAGCAGTATTTCTGAGGCAACTGTAAACATGTGGTACATGAGCAAATCCAAGTAATTGGCTTCAGAATCTGCTTTTATTATTTGTTATTATGCTTCCTTTAAATCAACAACAGATCAAAAATAAAATGTAGGACAGATATATTGAAAACATTTAAATAGCATTGACATCACATTTGCCAATATAGTCACTAACATCTTATTTTTCTAATAAGCACATTCAGATAAATATATAGATGTGTGATTGTTTTGTGTTTAAAAATAAAAATGGCATATGATAAAGACTGTTCTTTAACTTTATTATTAATAATACATAATGAATATGTTTATATTTTTATATGCGTATTCAGTATTCTTTTTATAAATTAATTTTTTATGACTTTATTTGAGCCTAACTGATGACATTGATGGGACACAAAATCTTAAGATCTGAGAAAATGCTCCAGGAAATGGCATTTTTACCACTTAGTTTATACATCAGAATCAAAGAAGACAGAAAAGGGTTACATAAAATCTTTTGGTGATAGATTAGGAAGGTGGGAGAAAGCCAAACAGGGAAATCTCTGAGATTGGATAAAAAGTAAAAGTAATAGACACAGATGATTTTACATGGGCAGGTATAGGATAGTTAACAATTAACATGATACTTGTATTCTTTTTAATGGCTGTGTTCTACCATTGTTGATGTAAAGTGGTTATTTAATCAGTGTTCTGTTGATGGGCATGAAGGGTGTTTCTGTTTTTTTTAGATATATTTGCCTGCTTTGATGAATATTTCTATCGAATATAATTCTATAGATGTAATTGCTGAGTCAAAGAATATACTTTTCTACAGTTTTGATAGATAATATCAAATCACCTTTCAAAAATGTGCAAATTTATGTTTTTATCCACCGTACATTGGAAGTGTATGTTTTTTCATTCTTTTCCTTAGATTTAATGTAATCTTTCAGTTACGGAAAATTAGTTGAAAAATGAAATCATTCTTTTAAATTTGCATTCTGTTAATAATGAGTGAAGCTGAGCATATTTTAATATTTTTATCAGCCATTTATATTTCTCCCATAAATTGCTTATTCGTAGCATTTGTCACATTTTAATTTTTAAAATTTGATGTATAATAACTTTTTTAGATATTTGTAGTAATAATAATAGTAATAACATGTTTATTGAGAGTTTATTCTGTGTCAGGCACTGTTTTAATTGCTTTTAAATGTGTTATGTATTTAATCTCTTAAGAACTACATGTAATGGGTATGAGGCCACAAGAGGTTAAATAATTTGCTGAAAGAGCCAGGAAGCAACAGAGCTGGAATTCAGATTCAGACATCTGACTTATGCTCTTAACCATTATGCTAACCTGTCTTTTATATTCAGAATAATAAAAGTTATAATTTATTGAGTGATTTTTGTGTGTTGCCTAATTTAATCCTCATGATAACTCAATAGGTACTATTATTATTTTCTATTTTATAGATGAGGAATCCAAGACTTGGAGGTTAATTCCTCAGTAAGTGATAGAATCAGAATTTCAGTGAGATCTGTTTAGCTCCAAAGCGGCCATCTTAACCACTCTGGCATCTTCTTTTTTCTTTTCTTGGGGCATTTTCTCAGGAACCTTGAGAGTGGCATTAAAAGGAAAGAAAATCATCATAAGGAGAATCAATCATAAGTCATGTGGCAACGGAATTCAGATTCCTTTGCTGAAAGTACCAGCTGTGAAAGCATCAAACTTCGTTTTTCCTAGCTGCCTGACAAGGATTTAAATGAGTGACTAAAGGCAATGAGAAGTGAAGTTCAGTGTAAATTTCATTGAAAGAGTGGAAAATGAAATGAAAGTGTGAATTGATAGTTATAAATGCCAGTCACCTGTTGACCAAATGTTTTATGTATTAGATTGCTTTTGATTATCCTCATTTATAAAATATTACATTTTTTTATGTAAAAATTATTCTATGGCTTTTGAGAGGTTTACTGTTAAGAAATAGATAAATGTGGTACCTTTCTACTCTTCTTCCTCAGGGTATTGGCTCTGCTATTTCTTAGTCTTATTTCGATAAAGTAGTAATCAATCCTTACATCAGAATAAGTTGTATTAATGAGGCTCTGAAATATTTTAGTAGCTAAATTGAATGTATTTTTTCTCCTACTTCAATGTTTCATTATCCATATTCTCGTTTATTTAGTAAAGATGAAAAGTTCTAGAAATAGGATCTTCTTACAACTTCTTTATATTGCTAAGAGGTTAGTTTAGTTCACAAACAAGTTTTGAGTCTCATTTTTATTCCAGTTCCATTATGCTAATCATTAGGGAACATAGGTGCTCATGATATAGCTTGATATTGAACGGCTTATTTAGTGAAGACAGAATATGTAAATAAATGTCAGTGCAATGCTGTGATAAATAATGCGCAAAAGTCAAAGTAATATAAGTGAGGTGGAGCGTAAGGAGAGGGGGTTTTAGGGAAAGCTTCAGAGAGAGGCTTAAAGAGGTTTTTGAAAGGTGCATATAAGTTTTTTTTGGAAATACAAAGGTGGAGAGAGGTTGATAAATATTAACAAGTGAAGAAAGGACTTTCTGGAATTGTCAGTTATTTGTTGTTGTAGGATTGATTATTGCTCTCTCTGTCCTCCACCCCCATTCTTAAGTGAATGTTAAGAAAATAAAAGGAGCACGTGAGTCTGGCTCTTGAAGATACCATCCTGGTATTTGTGGTCATTTACTTTCTGAAGGCACAGATATGCTTTGTAAAATGTAACTTGTGCTTTGCTGATTTCTGTTACCATTCTGGGCATTGAACTAGTGGGGCCAACACAAATTTTTCAGCCATCCTCTTGTTACTGACTCACCTATCTTGTTTCCATACTTGTGAACATTACTCAGTCAAGCGCAGTGTCCAAATAAGACTCTGTCAGATCTACTTTTCGTACTTCATTGTGTACCGTGCCTACTCTAATGGAACATGAGTAAGAGCTGATTCTGCTTTTAAATTTTATTCATTATGGTCAAATATATATTTCATCTTTTCAAATTGATATATTTATTTTCTGAAGGCTTAAAACTTCTATTTGTTGTTTAGAGTTTCTCTTCTGTCTTCCAACTTTCTGCCGTGCTATATTCACAGGAACCTTTATTATATTAAACCCTTATATTCCAAATTATGAATCTACCATTTAAGAAAATGGAAATATTGGGAGTTTGATTCTTTTCCTGCTTATAAAAATAATACAGTCTTATGATAGAAAAATAAGATATAGAAAAATATTAAGGAAAAAAGTATAAATTAAATTAGTCTCACTTCTAGATATAGAAGAAGCCTATTGCTGTTTCAATGCCTGTCATTTATAGTTTTTGCTTCCTTTCCACATGGGGTTTCAACGTTGGGTGGATTGCAGTGGGCATGGAAAAACTGAATAGTTACAGGGAAGTAGAATTTTTGTTTCTTCACAATGTGGTCAGATCATGCTTTTTATCAGTTACTGCAAAGAATGTGTGCATGCAGGTTGGTTGTGTGCATGCCCAGGACGTACAGCCGAAGTCAAGTTTGCTCTGCTCTTGGGCTGGTCTCTGTGCCTTCAGAAAATTGCTTAGGTTCTCCATGCTTCAACTTTGTTAATGTGTCTAGTAAGAGTAATGTCATTTCTCTTAAGTCTGTCATTGGGGGAAAAAAATATATATATACATAGACACACACGCACATATACATACACATACACATATGCATTCATATATTAATGCCTTTGGAGAAAATGAATGTTGGCTAAATAAATATTTGGCATATAGTAGGCCCTCACTAAATATTTGGATCATATGAAGGACTGAAAAAAAAAGGCTGAAGTAAAAGTTGAAAAAGCTTCTATAAAAGTAGGGTAGTGGTACTGAATTAATGATATATTTATTGGTTTCTTTATTGAGGTAAATTCCTTTTAAAATTTTTGATGCTTTGTTTGGTTCCCATAATTAAAACTATGATAATAAAATTCCATGAGAATGAATTTAACTCAGTGCTTCCTACATCTAGATTTTTTAAACGTATATTTTTTTACTGAATTTATTGCAATGACACTGGTCAACAAAATCATACAGGCCTTACGTGTACAGTTCCATAATACATCATCTGCACATTACACTGTGTGTCCACCACCCCAAGTCAAGTCTCCCTCCATCACCATTTATCCCTCCCGCCTTGACTCTCTACTACTTCCCTCCACCCCTCTTTCCCTCTAGCAACCATCACCGTTGTTTTTTTTTAACTTTATTGTTTTTTCTTATATTACCTTTTAGTAATCACCACAGGAATCCCCACATTGTTGTCCATATCCATGAGTCCTTTTTCCTTTTTGCTCAATTCCT